TAGATAACTTTATGCCAACATATTAGTTCAAATGGGGAAAAGTTTTTAATGTTCATATTTCATATTTCATATAATGTCCATATTTTTAAAAATGCCAATATAGATGTTAAGATGAAAAAGCTCACAACTCTCGATCTCTCTCTTTTTTTAGCACAAGCATATAAAATAAAGATCTCTAAAAATTAAAATTAAAATAAAATTTCCTTCAAAGAAAAGGGCTAAATAATTATGAAAGCAAAAAAAAAGCGAGAAAAAAAATCACTAAAAAGTACTTAAGATTGCAGGGACAATCAATTAAATTAGAATTTCAAAGAAAAAAAAATTGTGTTAAATTTATTAATAAAAACTGCCCTTTAAGTTTGTCAAACTTCACACTTTATAGTTGCATTTCTGCAATCCCTGTCAGTTATTATTTTACTAGAAGTAAAAAAAAAAATAATTCTCGAATTTTATTATTCTTTAAAATTTCAACGCATTTCCTGTTCATTTTTCTACATTCCTTCAAAATTTCAAATCTTATAGTTTTTTTGCAGCAAAACAAATTGTTCGTAAAATTAATTAAAGCAAAAAGAAAGAACAAATTTGCAAAAAATTAGTTCCAAAAATTACTATAACTTTCGAACAAATTGGAATTTAGAAATGAAGCGCGTGCTTTGTCTACAAATGAAATAACATCAAGTCAAACTTCAAGTATTAAGTCTCATTTCTGCAGGTGGCAGAATAGACCGACTGGCATTTAATTTACAAGTGTTTTTTTTCTAATGTCGCTTGCCAATCCCGCAAATCTACTTGGTGAAACAAGTCGAATTTAAAGCAGAGGGTGCATTTTTTGTTTTTCAATGACGCTATCTATGGCTAAGAATACGACTTCAGCCGCACTCAGTTCACAGCCCGTTTATAGGGCGGATCCATTCATAAATCCATTCATTCATCCACAGATTAAAATTTTGATCTGAACCGGAGAATGATCAATCTCCAATTCAGTAAGATCCCAGAGATATGATTTGTTATGGGAACATGGAGAACTTTGCGATCTGACAGATTTAACCTGCACCAGTCATTAAGTATTGAGAAAAACTTTCCTTCGTGGAGGACTTATCAATTACACTTGTAGTACAAACATATATGGGTGATTCTCACGAAACATGAAATTCACTGTCCCTTGCTCCAAAATCTAATACTATAATACTAAAAGAACTTTTTTTTAAAAACAAATTAATGAATAACATTGCTGTTAGTATTTTAAAATGACTTTGCACTAGCATTGACTGTTTTGTATACTTAAAATTTTTTTTATTGAATATCAAAATGTCTTTTTCCGGGCATGTCCCAAACAATATTTCCAATAATAACTAGCTTCAAAACTTCCCATACATTTTTCAAAATAAAATTTTTTTTTTATCTTATCCTATGTAAGCATTTCTGGAATATACGCAGAGGGTATTGTTTACTAAAACTTCGTTTAAAATAATTTTTTTCTGTCAATAATTTGTTTGTCCCATGAAATCTGTCATTTTCCTGGCTACTTTTATTTAGTGATTTATAACCAAAATAGATAGCGCCAGGAATCAATATCTTATGTCAATAGATTGATTAGATACCCTCCTATCTGAACATGTCTTGTTGCATGAATAAAGAGCCAATTTTCTGGTTCAAAATCTATTTCAAAAATTTTTCCAAGGAGAGTAGGTTTTTATGCTGTCATTTTCCTGGCTTCTTGAAATCTTTAATTACAAAAACTACATAGATTTATCTGAGTTATTTAAAGAAATACTGTTATTTTCTGCAGAATATAAACGTCTTCGGCCAAAATATTAAAGTAAAGTTATATGCTATAAAATAGCGAATTTGTCATTATCCTGGCTGTCATTTTCCTGGCTTATGAATGCCAGGACATTGAAGTGTTACCAGAAATTCTTTTTAACTGCTAATACTGTAAAGAGGGAAAGCAAATATTAACCTAATACCAAGTTTATGTATGATTGTAATATGCTTGGATATAATCAAAGTTATTTATTTATTTAATGATTGATCACAATTTTATTCTGTACATATCAGCAACAAAATTTTTGTTGTTTCCTTCTACAGGGATTAAAAGAATTAATTTAAGCAATTTATGGTCCATCTAACATAAAGGCGTAAGTTGAGTTACTTACCATTAACTTAAAAGGACTTTTTTTTAAACTTCTAAGCTAATATGCCATTTTCCTGGTGACATTTAGTGTTTGGTGAATTTTCATTTTTTTTCTCGAGCAAATGTCAATAAACTACACTGCTGTCTATAAGATATTAATAAGTGTAGCTAAAGAAGTATACAAAAAAGTTTTTAGATTGTTTTGAAGACTTCAAATTTGAAGACATTTTTTGGTCCGAATTGTCATGTTTCGTGAGAATCACACATATATCAACCAGGTTATATCGGCCAATATATATGTTTGTGTCACAAATATAATAAGTCCTCCACGAAGGCATATTTCTCCCAATACTAGATCCAGGAGATACCTTGTTTTCTGGATTTTGTTCGAAGTTATAAGGATACGCAGTTGAACATTAGTAGTCATGAACATAAGACTTGGGTCGATTGTTCAACGATGGTTTTAAAATAAAAAGTATAATTGATAAAAACAAATCTTTATTTTTTTTCCATCGTACTCCCTATACAAATTTCTAAGTATTTTTGTTATTTCAAGTTTCTAAGTCTTAAAGTTTTTATTTTATTTTATTTTATTCTACTTGCAATTCGTTCCCCCATTCAAAATTTTTAGTGTACTTTATTATTTTACTTGCAATTTGTTTTCCTACCAACTTAATTTAATTATCCTACTTGCAATTTGTTTTTCTTGCTGCTGTGCACTTAATTTTAATCATACTCTCAATTTTCTTTAACCTTTCTAGATTTAGTAGCGCATTTTATTATCCTACTTACAATTTATTTCCCTACTTACATTTTGCTATTCAGTGCACAAAAAAATAAACGGACCAACCTGAACTACTTTTTATCCAATCAATGGATCTCCACGTTCTAATGGTTCAACAACATGTTATTAACTATATGCGAATTATTTAATGCAAGCGATATTTCAAGTTACGAAATCAGACGCAAAAACGTACTTTCTTTGAATAAACATATCATTTTTTTTTGATGGATTCGAATTTTTATCCCCAAGATATAGGGATGAACCCCAATCTGGGAAATACAGTCCCCATAGTTTGGCCAGGAAAGTTATACAAAGTTCACATCCTAAAGGATGTTAATTTTACTTTTTGCGGATTTATTAAAATGTCGAGAAATGTTTTATTGAGTGGAATTTTTTTTACACGCAATTAAAAAACTAATTCATCCAGAGATAATTCAACTCTAAAAATAATTTTTATTAAATAATTATTTTCTTCATTATTTTATTTAATAGAGTAGAATCAATTTAAAATTGTACGCCATACAATTTTTTGCATCATTTTAAAGAAGGCAATTTTACATTGGAAATTGCAGAATTTGAGCGAAATCGGTTGAATAGTTCCTGAGAAATCAAATTTTAAATGCACGACTTTTTGAAATTCGATTTCTCGGAAACTATTCGATCAATTTCGTTCGAATTTTGTAATTTATCATTAAACATTGCATTCTTTAAAATTATGTCAAAAATTGTAAACCCTAAAATTCAATATTTTTGATAATTATTAAATAAAAATAATAAAACATAATAAATATTTATTTAAAGTTATTTTTTTGCATTGCATGAAATTATCTTTTGATAAATTAATTTATAATTGGGTGCAAAAATTATTCAATTCGCGGAAGAAGTTCTCGAGATATGGTGAAAAGCACAAAAAGTAAAATTAACATTAAGGGGACCAAACTTTGGACCGCACTCCTGACGAAACTATTGGGACCACAGTAGGAGTCAGAACTCCGAAACTCTAGGGAAAAAAAAAGATATGCATATTCAGAGAAAGTACGTTTGCACTAATTAGCATATTTAAGATCAATCGCTTGAACAATTAAGAATAAGTCCTAAAACGTGAATATTCAACCATTCGATCAAAAGTTATTCATGGTGGTTTGTTTTTATTTTGTGCACTGTACTCTTCAATGTCCAACTCGATAGAAGTTTCTCTGCTTAAATTTGGCCGGGCACTTTCTTATCCTATTTGAACTAGTTGGAAAAATTCATTACTTTGTAATTTGAATTCATACTTGGATTTTGTCTTTAATTTTATTAGACTGTATTGTTTTTTATTCTTTTTGAATATTTTCGTATTTAGAAATATAAATAAGACTTAATGTAGAAAAATGTTTCAGAGAAAAATAACTAATAGAAAAAAAGTCATTAAACTTTCTTATTCTCCAAAAAATATTAATTGCTAAAAGATATAGTAGTAAGAGTTAATATGAAATCTGATAGCTAGTTTTTAGTTTATCTTCAATTTGCCACCACTTTTAATTTTTTTAAGTTTCATTAAGTAAATCAACGTAAATTAATCACAAAAAACTGTACCTTCACGTTGTATTGTTTACACACACACGCACACACACACACACACACACACACACACACACACGCGCACACACATATACACACACANCACACACACACACACACACACACACACACACACACAAATAGATTAATAGGAATATAGAAAAAGACGGATATATATATTCGTCTTTTTCTATATTCCTATTAATCTATTTTCAATTTAAAATTTTTTTTAAAGTATTCGAGACACTCTTTACAATTTTTTTCTGTTTTTTTCATTTCTTCGAAATTTATTCCAAGATTTCCAAATGGTTTTCATAAAATAAATGACCGAAGATGCAAAGCTTGAGAGCTAAAAATGAATTTCTGTGAATTATAAATGTATATAAATGAATAAATAAAACTTATAAATAAAAACACTGACAGATCTAGTTCTAAAGTTTTTTAAATTTGAATTTATTTGAATAACACTACATTGTTAGAAGACTGTAGAGTGTACAGTTTGAAATGCAGCAGTAAATAAAAGAAAACAAAAACTTTTTAGATTTTCTTACATTAGTTCTTGAAACAGTTCTCGGTTTCAAATTATGTTTGATACATTAAAGGAATGAAATTCTGCATAACTATCTTGTTTAAACACCATCAAAGAACACAAAATTCTGAAATGTTAAGCCTATTATAATGTTTTCTCTGAAAATAAAGAGTACAACAGACTAAGAAAGTTTTTATTTTCCTATATTTAAAATAACTTGTACGTACATTATTATCTAGGGACTTATAAATAATTTATAATTACTCATATATTTAGCTTAAAAATGATTTGCTTATTTCTTCAATGGATTTCCCTTTTGTTTCAGGTAGATAAAGCACACCAAAAATAGTACCTGCAAACGAAAAAAATCCAAAAGTCCAGTATAATCCATAATACCCAATATAAGTTACTAAAATATCAAAACTCTTTGTGACAATGAATCCAAAAATTGATAAAGATACGATACTCATAGTCAATACAGCACTTCTATAATGAATCGGCACTAATTCTGGTGGCATCACGATTCCACAAGGGCCGAAACCAAACGAGAAAGCTGTAATATAGAGCAATAATCCAGCCAACGGAATCCATTCTACAGCACTTACATCGTACTCACGTTTCTGGAAAAGCTTAAAAGCTCCTAGAATTACCAACGATAGAGTCATCATGCTCCCAGACGATATGAATAATACACGCCGACCTAATTTATCTATAAACACAGTGCTAAAAATCGTGGCAGCAACTTGAACAGCAGCAAAAATTGTTGCAGATGTTTGTGGATCCATGGATCCTCCTGAGTTTTTAAAGATTTCGACAGTGTACGAGGTTACTGCGTTGATTCCTGAAAATTGCTGGAAGAAAAAAATGGCTATAGCAATCGCCGTCGGCTTATAAAGAGTTGGATCTTTAAAACTAGCAATTGAGATCCCTAACTGAGATTGTTCCTGCTGGTTCTTGGACAAGTTAAGAAACTCTGCTTTAAAATCAGAGTTTCTTCCCCTGAGGAACTTTAAACTTCTTATAGCTTCTTTTTCGTTTGAGTTTCTAATTAACCACTGAGGAGATTCTGGCATGAAGAACATTAAGCAAGTAGATATGGTTAGTAAAATGGCAGATATCATGGCCATCCACGACCATCGGAGTCCAAAGCCAAAACAAGCCATGATAAGTACACCAATGACATAAGCCAGTTGGAACCCAGCTGCTATGATTCCACGATTTTCCACAGTAGCGATTTCAACACAATATGCAGGAATAACGACTGAGGCCATTCCATAGCTGAATCCTGTAAGTAATCGACCACAATATATCCATGTTAATGTAGGGGCATAGACTACCATTAACCAGCTGATAAGGTATGGAGTAGAGAGGCATATGATGACGGCTTTTCGACCATACTTATGGGATAAGAAACCTATAAAAACAAGAATTTTATGAGGATCAAATAAAGTAAGAAAAAACAACGCCTAAAAATACAAAAATAATGCAATTAATATAGACAGTTAGTCGGTTTTGCGCTGTAACAAGCGCCATCATCAGTGTTAAAATCCTGATTCTGTAATGTATTTCTTGCAGTACCGAAAAAATTCCGTTATCTATATTTTTGACGCATTACACGCATTTTCTTTTTTATTTATGGCTATAGCAAAAAGATACTCTTTTTTATAGGGATTTTGCAAGAAGTTTTATTATTTGCAACATTTAATTGCACAAAATATAAAGGATTCCAAGATTTGGATTATTTCATTTGTAATTAAAATAGTTCTTTAAATATAATGTGTGATGGTCTGATGGTTGGTAAGGATACGGACATAATGGTAAGATCCGAAGTGAAAATTATGCTTTGATTTACCATCATATCGGAAACTCCTTTTCTCAAATGCTCTTTGACACGTAACAAGATTTTATGGATGTATCATTTAAGTCATACAAGAAAAATTGAAAGATGAATAATAAACTATTACACAAAATTAACAATTTATTAATATAACGTTACTGTTATTAATTGTGGATATACAATTGCTCAGTATCTTTAATGATGCATACAATTGTATGAAAAGTAATTCATTTTTATTCCTTAACCCTTCGTCCAAGACTAGATTTTCTAAACTTTATTTAATAATTCGACAGATATCTTTTTTGGATTGTTTTGTACCAAACTACGCCGATTAAAAATAAAATAAAACAATAAACCTTGATTTTATATAAATGCGTATTTTTTGTAACATTCATACTTATATTTTTTTGAGAAATATCTTTATTTTTAAAATAACTATCGTAGTTTTATGTGAATAAACGCTTAAGAAAAGATAAAAACTAAAACAGGTTAAAAAAAGTGTATTACTAAATTTTTAGAGCCTCGCTATTGTAATATCTTTAATAAAATACCTGCTTATGTTTTAACTTCACCCTAAAACTATTATGAACTTTAAATACAAAATTTTATTGGTTAACACAATTTATGAAATATATCTATAGATTTTTATAAATTATCTATACATAATTTTAAAAAAAACCAATGATTTGTGGGATTTCAATTGATATTAAACCAGGGTTTAAGCTGAGTCTAAAAATTCATTAGCAAAAAAGCTAAAATCTGAAAAAAAGTTTTAGCAAAATGCTAAAATGCCATTAGGCTTATAAAATTACTTTATATCAAACAAGTACTGTAAGTTATCTGACAAAGAATAGCTTAATGTACAAGAATATCAAAAAGAATACCTATAACAAAAAAAAACACATTTATTATTTATCAAAACATTTTGGTTTATAATTAACAATCTTCCTTTCTTTCATGTTTGCCCATTTTACAAATGCTTCTTGAAAGTTAAATGCACTTTCAGGGCCCTCAATATTAATCATTAACAAATTGTTTACATGGTTGATTAACAACCTGTTTCGAATATTAGTTTTAATCAAATTAAGGCAGNCCCTGGAAAATGTATTTGTATTAATAATGTATGTGAATGCGTCATAATGTAATTTCAGAAGAGAAACAAATCATTTGATATTCACAAGAGACGTACCTTGACATAACCTTAAATCCGTCGCATTGTCCGTGGGATTGTTTTCACTCATTTTTTACAATTGTTATCCACTAAGTTTGAAAGTAAAAAATACTATCCTAATAAATTGTATGTGTATCAAAACAAACTAAAAAAATATTTATAGAAAAACAATACTTTTATTATTTTTATGCTAGTGAGAACCAAAACAATCTGGAAATGAATGCGGGAAAACTGGATCCTACCACGTGATTTCCCGGCCAATAAAAATGTAGCGTTAAACGTTTAACGCAACCTTGTTGGAAGTCGCATAAGAAGTATAACTTCAAAAACTTGTATTACTAAATATTTAGAGCCTCGTTATTGTTATATCTTTAATAAAATACCTGCTTATGTTTTAACTTTGTCGTAAAACTATTATGAATTTTAAATGCAAAACTTTATTGGTTTATACAATTTATGAATTGCATAAATTATTGATTTATGCAAATTATTTATACATAATTTTAAAACAAACAATGATTTGTGGGATTTCAATTGATATTAATCTAATATTCAAAGTTAAAATTCCAGTAAAAAAATTCACTTATGCAATTATTTTATATGCATTAAGTTCCAATATCTCTTAGAATCGTAGATTTCGGCCAATTTAATATGTTTTAGAAAATTTCGGACTATTAGTCTGAGACAGTTTTGGACCCTAAATCCCATATGTCCAGTCCAAAATCAGTTTAAGAGGTCTGAAACCTAAACCCTGATCACAATTTAAACAAGTTTAAAGATCAAATACAGTAGTGAACAAAGAGTGTAACGATTTCTCTTCATTTTATGCGATTTAAATGTTAAGCTGGAAAAGTTAAATATCTAAAAATGCCTTTATTTTAAAATAAAAAGGTATGTAAATCAAAATAATTATTTTCCCTATGTAAACGTAGCAAAAAATAGACCTTTAATCCAGAAATATTTTTGCGACTTCGCTTAAAACAGCATATTTATTTATTTTAGCATTATTCAAAAAATATCTCGACAGCATTAAAAAAAAAGAAAATTCTAGTTTACTTCAATAAAAAGAACTTTTTAATTACTGTGAATTTTTTGTAAACCTTTCAAAAGAATTATGGAGGATTTTTGGAGGATTATCAGGTCTTAGGTACATTGCCTTACAGAAGGTTAAAAGGTGCACAAAAGGAGAACAAAAGTATTTAGTTCATAAAGCAGAGCAAAAAAAGTGAATACTTTAAAAATTTTTGATTCGTCAGACCCCATTAGTTCAGACAAAAAGTGGTTAAAAGTTTTGACCCGTAGATGATAATTAAATTTTTGCATATTTCACATTTTTTCTGATCCTGTTTATCCAAAAATAATTCCATACTAAGAAAATATTCTTTTTTTAAATTATTTACTATTTTTTATTATTTACTATATTAGTGATAGAAAAGTTTTTTGAATTGGCAAGTATACCAATAAGTACATAAACTCAATGCACGTAATTTTGAATGACAAAATACAAAAGTTTAGGAAAATCTCTGAAAATATAAAAATTTAAGAATGAGTCTTCTTCGAGATGGCAACATACGCAAAACGTGAAATTAACATTAAAACATTATTATAACGTTCGACTGCTCTCCCGACTTAATTAATTGGACCCTATTTTCCAGGTTGCAGCTCCCCTCCATTATTTAAAGAATCCGAATACGACAAAGAACAGTTACGTTTATTCATAGAAAGCACATTTCAGTATACAAGAAAGGAACAACTATTGCCCAAGCATCTCGTTGCTCCATCTCTCTGCACTCATTTAAATTGCTGGTCGGAAACCAATTCCGGAACATGCTTTCAGAGAATTTCCGTAAAAGAAATATACATAAAACCTGGTTCAACCATATTTTAACTATGCAAGCTTTGTCGCCTTGGGGAGGACATGGACCTGCCCCATATTTCCGTCTGTCCTGCGCTCATCTCCACTACTGTGCGTGGACGCCATTGGGAGGCTAGGGCCCGTATGGGCTAAGCATGTCACTATGCACTCAATTCTATTTATCTCTTTTGGTCTTGTTTTTCTTGTTATTTTATCCTTTTTGTTCTTTTAAATTGGCCTGACATTTGAAAAAAAAATTTTCAGTATCTTATTTTGTAATTTAAAATATTTATGATCACATCATATTTAAGGTTGTGCCTTCGAACTAATAAAATTGTATGTTAGTACGTGAAAACTCAATCGTTAGGTCAAAAATTAATAAAATATTCCGTTTTTTTTCTAATATTTTTCACTCTACAGTGTGCAAAATAAAAAACAGACCACTCTGAATAACTTTTGCTCTAATGATTGATCACGTTCTAGGACTCAATTTCAATGGTTCAAGAGGGAAACTCTGAATACTCTTCTTTTTTTCGACGGATTCGCATTTCTGACCACCAAAATATGAATGATAGCCTTAATCTGGGAAATATAGTCCTAATAACTTGGTCAAGAGAGCAGTCCAAAGTTTGGACCTCTTAATGTTAATTTTACTTTTTGCATATTTCGCAATACCTCTGGAACTTTTAAAATGGATTGAAAAATTTTCACTCACAATTATAAAAATCATTTACCCAAAGATAATTTCAAGTAAACAAATTATTTTTAGTAAATATGTAATGTTGACTATTTTATTTAATAATGGTCTAAAAAATTATGAATTGTAAGGTATACATTTTAGAGAATTTAATTTTATATTTCAAAATACAAAATTTGAGCGATATTGGTCGAATAGTTTCTGAGAAATAAAATTTTAAAAATACGTCTTCTTTGAAATTCGATTTCTCAGGAACTATTCGTTCGATTTCGCCCAAATTTTGTATTTTACTGTTTAAAATTACATTCTTTGAAATGATGTAAGTTGCACATGTTACAATTCAAATTTTTTTAGACAAATAATTAATAAAATGATAAAAAAATGATAAATATTGATTGAAAAAAATATTTTTTGCATGGAATTATCTTTGGATATGCGAATTTAATTATAAAATGGTGAGCAAAATTTTTCAATTCGCTTTAAAATGTCTCAAAACATGATGAAATACTCAAAAAGTAAAATTAACATTAATGGATACAAACTTTGAATTGCTCTCCTGATCAAACTATTGGGACTATATAACCCATATTGAGGCTATCATTTATGTTTTGGTTGTCAAAAATCCGAATCCGTCGGTTAACAAAGCGTTTAATCTGAGAAAGTACATTTTTGCGTAAGATTTCGTAATTTAAAATATCCCCTGCACTCATAAATTAGTATATTTAGCATATTAGATAGCAACCCCTCAAACCTTTACGATTGAGTCCCAGAACGTGAAGATCCGATCATTAGATCAAAAGTTATTTTTAATATTCCTAATATTCATCAGCGTCACTAACTATATATATATATAT